TGCATGTAGCAGCCCCATTAACGTGGCCTAGCAAGTCTTCCTTGCAGGAAAAGGTTTTGATGAGGTTTTTGTGTGTTGCTTGGTGTTTTATCAGTCCTTGCTCGTTTTTGGTTAATGTGCAAGTACAAATTCAAACTGGTGTTTTATCACTTTTCGTTGATAAATTAAAAATTTTCTAACGATTACTAGTGAAATAAGTTAATAAATACCTATGTATTTTACATAATTTTGGAAGGTATAAGTAATCTCCTTCTACAAATATAAAGTCACAATATTAAAGACTTTTCATTATTAAAGAGGTTATGATCGTCTTTTTTTGCCAATTACTTTCATTGACATTCTATTTTATTTTTCTCAAATTTACTACCAGGTTCTATTCTCTCTTCTTATTTAATTATATTTTATGTATTTTTAAATTTCATTTTTGTTATGTTTTTTTTCTCTCTTTGATTTAATTATTTTGTTTAATTTAAAGAAATTTACGTCCATTGTTATAAGTTGAATACTAATAGGTGTTAAGTCTAATCGATTATGTAATTAAGAATTTTTATAAGAGAAAATACATGTATTACCATCTTAAATACAAAGTCACAAAAGTTATTTTATTCTCTTTATAGAAATATTTTATTATTGGATATAAAATTTATAATTAAAGTATTAAATTTAAAAGAATCAACTTTATTAAAAATTATAAGTATATTATATTAGAACAACAAAATATATTATAGATTATTCATAAATTAAAATAATTTTTTTTTAAGTACACGATGATTATAACAACATCAAATAGAATTAACGGAAATTGTTATATCATACTTATATTGGTATATGTCTCGATCTTTTTCTAATATCAAAATCAAGCAACGACCTTATGACCATGATCGACGACAACATCTGAAACAAATTTTGTCCAAAACCAATGAGACTTCCACACTTTATTCATTTCTTCAATTGGGACATTATTTGTCTCGGGAAAAAACATGACAATGAAAATTGTCATTATAAGCACAAAGCCAGCAAAGAAGAAGAAAAGTCCAAACTTCAAGTGACAAAGCATAGTAAGAAAAATTTGAGCAATGGCAAAGGTGAACAACATGTTCACAGCAACATTGGTAGCTTGACCTGCAGATCGAACCTCAAGAGAGCATATTTCACTAGGAACCAACCATCCCAATGGACCCCAAGACCATGCGAATGCGGCAACATACAAACATATGAAGAACAAAAGAAGATTAGCTTCAATATGTGTAAATGAGCCTTCACCGCTAACTCCAAAATTAATAGCAATCATGCTTCCCACAATAATCTACAATCAATAACCATAACATTTACATTAGATGTGCTTGGAAAGCAGATCAATTTGAATGGAAAATATAAATAATTAATTATTAGTTAGTTGTAATAGTCACCTGACAAATAAACATTTGGACACCACCTTCAAGAAACAAAATTTTTCTTCCAAACTTATCCACTGTGAAGATTGAAACAAAAGTAGCAAGAACATTGACACCTCCGGTAATTACTGCGGACATGAGGGAAGCATTGTTTCCAAAACCCAAAGTCTTGAAAAGGACAGGGGCATAAAACATGATAACATTGATGCCTGTGAGTTGTTGAAAGAATGGAATGAGAGAGCAAAACGTTAGTTGAGGTCTATATCTCAGTTGTGTAATATTCTTCCATGGATGTTCCACCTTCTTGGCTTCCTCGCTAGCATCAATTAGATCTTGGAACTCCTCATCGACATTATCAATGCCACGAATCTTTTGCAACATTTTCTTAGCTCCTTCTTTTTGACCCCTTTCAATCATAGAGTTTGGTGTGTCTCCTAAGAAAAAAGATCCTATACACAACAAAATTGCAGGGACAGCTCCGATACCCAAAGAAATTCTCCATCCACTCTCAAGATCAGAAGTAAAGTAGTTGATAATGTTTGCCCCTAGGATTCCAATAGTTATCATCATTTGGAAGCCCATGTTGAGTGCACCTCTAATCTTTGCTGGAGCCATTTCAGACAAATACACTGGAACTGACTGTTTATGAGTAACAAAATATTGTATGCAATTAAAGTTGCAATATTCTTGATCATTTATACATAAAAACATAAAAGCATAAAAGTGATACCAATTTTTACCTGATTACAATATCCTACACCAAAACCAAGTAATAAGCGACCAATGATAAGCATTTCAATGTTGATAGCAAAACCATTAAGCAATGCACCAATAAGGAAAAACAAGCCACCTGTAAACATTGAGGCCTTGCGCCCTAACATTCTTGTAGTTGTGGAAGCAAAGAAAGAAGCTATTAAAGCTGCAAGATACAAAGAAGATGTGAACAAAGTAAGGAGCTCGTTATCAAATTTGCAATATTGACTCTCGTGTCCAGATTCATCTTTCATTTGTTTGTAAACACTGGGGAAGAATTTAACCAAGAATGGTTCCATGGAAGTCACACCTCCTGTAATACCAAGATCATAACCAAAAAGTAAACCCCCCATAGCCGCCACTAAACATGTGACCAAAACAAATATTGTAACCTTTCCCTCATATTGTCTTCCATTTGTTGAAGTAACTAAAACTCCACCTGCCATCGTTTAAATTTGTGTATCTTAAAATTTAAATATTTCTATAATGAAGACTTGTTTTCAATTTCTTTCTCTACATATTAGATGATAAAATTTATGATTATTTTATAGTGTCAATAATTTCTAACAAGATAGCATGAAGCCGTTAAATGACACATAATTTTTTTTAACACATTATAAATTTAGCATTTTTAATCCTTAGCATTCTTGTAAATTGTTAAGTTATGAGCATGATTTTGTTAGATTTGGTGTCAATACACTATTATAGGGATTTGAGATTAGAGATAATTCTTGTATTGAATTATCAAACTTAATGGTATCATAAACATGGTTAAATAAATCTCAAGTGACACTTTGTTAATCTATTTATAGTATAATGGAACAATTAAAAATTTAGTTGAGTCTCATTTTATTACAAAAATAAGTTTTTAAATTTTTTTAATGTAAAGTCTTTTTTTTTTTTAATTTAATGTGTTTAAAATGATAATAAAATATATAAATTCTTTAACCATTCAAAATCACATGCAACTTGCAAACCATTACAAAAGACCAAAATGAAAAAAATATAATTTAATTGACGAATTATTATTTTTAGATATAATTTACTCAAAAAATTTCATACGGCTATTATTTGGGACCATTTGTTTCCGTTTTAAAAATTATTTTATAGTAATATAAATTTTGGTAAGAAAATAAAAAAAAAAAGTTTCTTTTACTATAAATTTATTAGAAATTAATTTTTTTTTTAAAAATCACTTATATATGAAGCTATTTTAAAATGATTTTCCTAAAAACTATTTTTGAAATAATTTTTTAAAATAATTATGCCGTTTTTTACATATTATGCTGTTTTTTAAAATCACTTATATATTACATAATGTCAAGATTACTATTGTAGTTTTATGAAAAATGAGTTTGAAAAAACTTATACTATTTTAATAAAAAATTCTTATAAAATAGTTTTTTTAAATTGAAAAAGAACACTTTTTTAAAATCTAAAATGTATTTGAATTTTTAGCCATTAAATATATTGATTTTCCAATTACTTTCTTTTCTTATCTTTTCATTTACAAACAAAGCATAAGAATACTTTCATATATATATATATATATATATATATATATATATAATATATATATATATATATATATACTATATTATATATTATATATACTATATATATATATATATATATATATATATAATATATATATATATATATTATATATATATATATATATATATATATATATATATATATATATATATATATATATATATATATATATATATATATATATATATATATATAATATATATATATATATATATATATATATATATATATATATATATATATATATATATATATATATTGTTTATGTATAATTTGATAGTATTTTATAATATTTTATAAAATATATTATTGTCACTCATAAGATAAAATTTACAATATGGATTAAAAAATTTCACATAAAAGTTTTATGATAAAATGGGAAGATGAAATGTAATTGTAATAAAATTTTCAAAATTAAAATTACAACTTACTAAATTTATTACTGGAATTATTTAATATTACTAATAACACAAATGTTAGATTTTTTTAAAAGGCAAATAATACGGTGACATCTAAGGTGCACCATCAATTAAGTGGTTCATGGTGAACAATTAAAAATAGTCATTAAAATAAACAATTTTACAAAATCTTATATTGTATCATTTACATAGAATTATTTTTTCATTTTTTAATTGTCTTTTTTTTTCTTTGGTTGTTTTTCTTTATTTCTCTTTTTCAGATACTCTTTTTTGATAGGGAATTTTCTTATCAAAATTATGAATTAGAGTTTTCTACACTAAACGAGAAGAATAATAAATTAATTATATAAAATAAAAGAAGATAAAAGATATTTTTATTTCATTCTTGATATCTTTCAATATCTCATAGAGACTACATATATAATACTCCTAATAGATAATTAACTAAAGGTCCAAAATCTATTAAAAGCCCAAAAGATCTCAAGAATATTCTAGAAAATATAATAATATAGAATAATTTCAAATACATCAAAATACTAATAAAATGTATTTAAAAACTAATAATAAATTATTCTATTTAACTCTTTATCATTGCCGTCAGATTCCCTTGAATCTTGTGTTCAAAATTCTAAAATTATACTCGAATCTCTTTGCTTAAACTGTCCTTAAACTGAACAATCATAACATGTATTGTCCCTCTTTTCTTAGAAATCAATCTCTCTGGTTTAAATCCCAAACAATATTTTTCCCATATTTCTTCTATTAGAAAATCCTTGGTTGGATTACTTTCAGGACCGTTTTGAAGTTCCTTTTCATAGGAATTAAACATTTCAACTAACCTAGCAGTACAATGCATTTGTTTTTCTTCAGAATACTCTTAAAAATCTCCAATCAGAAGAATATTTCTAAGAGAATCTCTAGAAAGAGCAACAATTCGCATAAAAACAGACATAGCATCTGTCAAAGATGACAGATTGGCAGGAAAATTTTCCAACTCCTTTAAATTATTATTAAGCTTCTCATTAATCTTCTTTGTAATCTCCGACAATGTTTTTGATATAATCATAGCTTGGACATGAACAAGTTTCTGTGCCAGGACAAGAAATCCAACAATAGACTTGTCTATTTTGGAAAGGAGCGAATGAGACTCAAAAAGCTTATGCTCTTCATTTCTAGCTTCTTCGTAAGATTCATCGCCAATTCGATTCCTTACACAAATATAACCAAGGCCTGTGTTAACATCGTCAACTTTAACCTTTCTCCAACAAACCTTCGAGAGACCTGTCAGCTTTTGAAACGACAACCAAAGTTCTCAAATCCCGTTTTATCAACAGACTGAGACATCCTAATGGACTCACATATTGTGAAATCAATAGTATCCGAAAGAACATTCAACATAATGCTTTCTTCAGGAGTTATATACTCCATGATGATATCCTTGATTTTATCATAGATATTATCTAGCTGACCATGAACAAGTACACGAGTAATTCCCATAAGATCCATCATAGTTAAATCAGGCACACTGTTCTTCTTCACAGTCAAAGCCAAAGGGTTGTTAGAAACTCCTTTTGCAGTACCAGCAAGCTCTTCAGTAGCTGTGTTGATAACATCAGAGACATTTGCTTCATCGGTTGAAACATTCTTGCCATTATATTCTAATACACGCTCTGGCTCTCGAATGTTTCTACGTATCATTTGAAGAAAAAGTTGAAAAGCTTCCAAAGCCTGTCCATTTTGAAGATAAGCAGCTATCAAGGTGTCCCATGAACCAACATTTGTTGTTTTTCGAGCATCTATCATGGAAAAAACCGAGGCAGCTAATCTTACACCACCACATTTATGATAGATATCCAAAAAGGGTTGTCTCAAAAATATCATCACACAAACCGTGTCCATTCATGTTATTACTCTTCCAACCATCTTGTGTCACCTGATGCTCAAACTTTGACAAGAGTTCACAACCATAACTCTCATAGAGACAATTAGCAAGCAAATGTAAAGCAAGATCAATATTGATTTCTATATACCAAAGATTATAGAAAAGATATTGCATGTTGGTAGCATAAGCCTCTTGCAATATAATAAGCAAGTGCTCATCATCTGCGAAATTTAGACAAGCATTCTTCAAAATATCAACAACTCTAATATCATAAACTTGAGGAAACCTTAGAAGAGCAACTTGACCAGGATAAGGCACCGACGAAAATTCATTTAGGAGTTCTAGATGATCTCGTATATATGTAAGCAAGGAGGTAGGGTCAGCAAGAACATAAAATTTGATACTGGGAACTCTATGAATTAAAGAAGAAGAAATGTTTCCATGGACATAGAAGTGATTATTTTCAACACTATTCTTCTTACTTTTGCAATCAATTATCACCACACAATTCAGAAATGCAAAAAGGAAATTGCTTGGAGAAACATGATTCTCAACATGTAATAGTATAACAATAGGCTCGACTATAAAATTTTTATGCATAGAAGAATTACCTATAGTTTGATTGGCTGTATTCCACAAGTTGGGTTTCCTTACATATTCTTACCCTGCAAATAGCAGATGGTTCCAACAAAATTTTTCTGAAAGATTATAAGGATATACTGTACAACGTTCTCGAGAACGCCGAGAAAATAGGCACAGATGATGATGTATCATCTTACTAGAGTTTTGAACGAAGAGTTTTTTATTTGGCTTAGATATGACGAAGCAGATAACTCTTCAATATCTAAAAGAGATCATAGATTTTTCGCATATTTACCATAATCTAGAGGGTAAATAATACAAGTTTGAGAGTTGATTTACAAATACTTCGAGACTAATATAGTAAGTTTATAATGCAAATTTTGTCTATTCATCGCAACCTAGGGGATGAATAAAACATAGTTTTGATAATGCATCGATGCATGGAGAATGATGCGATGAATCATATCGCAAATTTTGTTATGTTTACTATAACCTACGGAGTAAACAGTATGAGGATGAACATGTGGATTTATCATAACCTAGGGGATAAAAGACAACATGGGTGGGCTTATGTTATTCATTACAACCTAAAGAATGAATAGCATAGCTCTGAAAATTCTCATACCTATCACAAACTAGAGGATATATATTTGAAGAATTTGTGCGTTTACCCCGACCTAGAGGATAAACGGCATAAAGATAGATTCATGTATTCATTACAACCTATGGAATGAATAATATGAACCTGGTAATTCGCACACCTACAACAACCTAGGGGGTAGATGATTGAAAAGTGTTTTGGTGATCAAATCTTAGATAACTAGATCAAAGTTGAGATAAGAGTTTTACCGGCTGTGTCTGTTCTCAACCAAGGTAATTGCTTGCTTTGATAATCTGACAAAGGGCCCCAAGATGTTTGTTTTACCTGAAGTGTGTTTGAAAAATTCCATGTTGTAGCAACTGATTTTTTAAATCAAGAGTCGCCACTATTAGTTTTTATCCTAGGGAAGGGAACCTAAAAGAAAACCCTAATTCGCGGACAGAGATTCTAGGTTTCAAACTCAATTAGACGAAAGGAAGGTGTTATGCACTTTTCATCCACCTTGTTCGCAAGGATATTAAGCTCTAGGTTTAGGTTTGGGGTAAACAGGGTTTTAAGTTTTAATTAGCAAGACTCGCCACGATTTTAGATCGCATGCCTACGTATTCTCTTACGAGGAATCAGAGTCCCAATTCGTAGTTCGTATGGGGTTGGTGTTTTTAGGGGTTTGCAAACATATTTTGAATCACTTCGCACTCGGTCGAGAGTAGTGATTGCGGAGATTTTGATTGAGTACGCAGTAAGTCAAAATTAGTTTAAAACCCATTTGTAAAAATAGTTGGTTAGTTTAGTTTATTGCGAAAATAGAATTTGATTTTTGGTTTGTATTTTTAATTGTACTATTTGCGAAGATCTCGATTAATGCATGATTGGAAAAATGATTTAATTCAAATAATATAGAAAATAATATATGAATTTTTTGAATGAAAATGATTTATTTGATCATATAATAATAGTAAATAGTAAATATATTAATAATATTTAATCATGATAATAATAAAAATTAATAATAATAATAATAATTATAAATGAAAAAAGAATAAATAATTAATAAAATATAATATAAAAAATAATATAAAAAGAAATAATAAAAAATATTAATAATTTAGGTAAACCTGGGGGGGGGTGTATTTTCTTGTTAAGAAGTAAATACTGGTGGTGTTAAAAGGAAGCCCGGCTGGCCCAAACGTTTCTGGACAGAGGGGGGTGCAAAATGTTTTGAGATTTTAGTAAACAGTTGGAAGGGGGTGTGAGTAACAGCGGGCTTAGGCCCGTTACCGTTTGAAAGGGAGTCCAGGGTGATTGTGTGTAGCGATGTGTATGGATCTTATGATACAGACTTGGCCTATGGCCATCTGATCAAGATCACGTGGATGGGATTGAAGGACCACATTAATGAGGGTGAGTGCGCGCGTATTGGAACAGTACTGAATAATAACATTTGTTTTTTTTACATTTTTCTGCAAACAACATTTCCAGCCAACTCTCTCTCTCTCTCTCTCTCTCTCTCTCTCTCTCTCTCTCTCTCTCTCTCTCTCTCTCTCTCTCTCTCTCTCTCTCTCTCTCTCTCTCTCTCGTCGTCCCCCCTTCTCTCTCGCTCGTGAACACCAAGCCCTTCCTCTCACAAACCCTACCCAACTCTCAGCGGTGATTCCTTGTTGTTGTACCCCAAAATTTTCCCTCTCATATTTCTCAATACATATCAAGTGAGATCCTCAAATTGCTCAAGGAAGTTCAAGAGTTGGCCAAACAAACTTTCTCCTAAGGCAGTCTATCTCAAATTAGGGTTTCATTTTGCATCAAGATGCTTGAGTCCAAAGGATCCCAAGTTCTCAACATTGTCCTAATATGTTCTCAAGATCATCCATGACAAGTTTCAAGCCTTACAGAAGAAGTTTGCTCAGTCAATTGCTCAAAAGCCTGAAAATCAACTATGCTAGGTCAAAAGTCAATTGTGGCCCACATACAGTCAAACCTCAATATTTTTGGTCAACATCCTCATTATTAAGTATAATTCATCATTTGATCAAGGGTTGATCACGATTCATCAAGGATTGCTCACAATTCATCAAAACCCAAAAGTTGCTAAATTAGGGTTTTGTAGGAAAAGTCAACTCAACTTTGACCAAGCATAACTTTCTCATACTTTATCATATATGACCCATACAAAGCTCATTTTGAATAGGATGGAATTACCTAAAATTCATCTTCAGCTCCCAAGTTCAGAATATGCACTCACAAAAAGATATGAATTTTGACATTATGGGTCATTTTGAAAAGTCAACAAAAACACCTTTTGGGTCAAAGCTTCATACATGAACATGGAATACTAAATTGAGATGAGACCAAACGTTTTGCTTAGAGGACATCCTAAGCTTTCTAAAAAGTCCAAGAACACCTCTCTAGGGTCAAAATTGAGATAGTTATGCGTTGGCCAAGTTGACCTTTTTTTGCAAAATTGCCAAAAGTCAACATTGATCAAAATTGAATTTTTTCCACATGGGCCCATCTTTTCAAGATTGCATCTCATTCCTAGCATAGTCCACGACCTATGAGACCCTCCATGCTTTATTTATTTATTTATTTAATTTAATTTGATTTTTATTTATTTAAAATTCAAATAAAATCAAATGAATCCAAATAAATCATATAATGTGTTTTAGGGATGATTTTTGCATTGAAGGAAGATCTTATGTGCTGTCAATTGGGAATCAATTCGTGCAAGGCTAATTTGGGTGGAAAAAGATTGAATTGAAGCAAGTTTGGAAAGATATCATATGCCATGAAAGACCAAATCAAATCTTCATAATGGGCAAGATTGAATTCGTTTTTGTTAACCTAACATGTTGCATTACATATACAGAAGAGATCCAAGGCAAGAAGGGGGTTAGAGCAGTCGTGCAGAGTAAGAACAAAACTCAAAAAATTCAAGAGAAAGTGGTGATCCAATTTCCATTCTAGAGGCCAGTTCAAGCCATTCTCACAATACCAACAGGTTCCTGGACATCTCAAGAAGGGATTTCAACCAATTGCAAGCTTTCTCACGCCTGGAATCATAGGTACAGAAGTCACGGTTTTGTCTCAAATTTTTGATTTCATTTTCATTGGTTTACGCGTCATTAGCATGTTTGGTTCATATATTCTTGTTTATCATTGAGTTTGCAAGCTTTTGGTATTGTTTAATTGTGTTTTTAGTACAGGAATCAAGAGATGCCATAGTTAGGGTTTCGTGTAATTGTTTTGGGCTTTTTTATGTAGGAAAAATTGGGCATTAACTCTGGTACCATGACACTCGTGAGGATGATACGAGTTGATTAATACCAACCATAGTCATTTATCTTGAACCTGTGCAATTTTGGAGATGGACAGGGTTATACCTACAACAAGCGTCTGTAGGTAAAAGTCTGTTTACCTAAAATGACGGTTGGGAGGAAGAAGATGGATGCGTGGAACTCCCTGGTTGGGAAATTTAAACTTTAGCGCGTTTTTCCAATCAACTAGCTTGCTTTGTATATTATGCATTATTGCTATTATGTGAACATATGAGGCGCGTGGTACAGATGGTTGGGTGTGTTTGGTGTTGGGCATAAGGACCTGGGTTCGATCCCTAGGTCCCAAACTTTGTTCATATTATTTTGTTTCAGGAATTCAGGTATACTGCAGCCTCCAGCATCCACCATGTACCCGTTGGCTCCCAAATTTGACACTTACTATATTTGGTCTTTTGGACCAAACAACTGGAAAGAACCAAGCCAGGAAGTATGATTCGACACATGAAATAACTTAAGAAAAAGATCTAAGTTATGATAGGAATCTTCGACCAAGGGCTCATTCGACTGAAGAAGACTTATGTTACTCGACTAAAAGAAAGTATTCTCGCTTTGGCACATGGTACGAGGATTATTTGAATTTTGAATTATTGGAGGGAAAGGCAGTTTTTGCCAGCGTTTAAGAGGAGGCAACGTGGCTGAAAGCCATAGGTCGAGGGACATGCAGAAGACACTTGTCTTCATCCTAGCGCAGAATGTTCCCTCGACGGTTACCTATTTTTAGTATAAATTAAGAAGCTTGTGTAATTTTCAAGTGTGTTCAACCTATTGTACTAAATCACTCAAATATTATCCAAGTAACTACTGCGTGAGAAAGGATAAAGGTGAGAAATGTACGTTGGAAACACCTTTTTTCCTTAATGAAAGTCTTTTTACATTACTTTACTATTATTCTGCAAAGTTATCTTTTTTACTTCTTTTACTTGCATTTCTATACTTCTGCTTACTTTTCAACAATCTCAAACATCCTTTCTCTGGGTCGAACGTGCGTTCTTCCTTCTTACCCCTTTTACATAAAAATTAGCATATGTCCTGGGATTAGTTTGATCGGTCCCGTGAGTAAACCAAAAAACATACCTTTTTGGAGA